TTTCACGTCGCTTAACTTCGAGCTTAGCTTGATTCATTCTTTGTCTCTTTCTAGCCGTTACTTTGGAAAGAGACAAACGTGAATTAAACTAAGATTAATGTTAAACGACGTTTGGTGAAGCCGAGCCTTCGTAATCTCGTACTTTGTCCACCTGTACTTTTGAAATAACGTTTCCCTCCCGAAACGGAGACGATTAATGCCCGTTTCTACCAATGCAGTTCAGCTTTACTCTCGACTCAACTTGATATCTTTTTCCTAGTTTTACAAATTGGAAAAAGATAAGGTGTAATTAAACCGAGATTAAAGTTAATCCGTATTGGTAGAAACGAGCGTGTCACTCGCTATTGCACGAAGATAAGATACCGAGATTATATTTGTGCAGTTGGCGGCATATATGTTTTGACAGTGAAGTTGCCTGTGCGTAGTGACGCATGCGGGACGCGTGCTTCCTATGGCTGATGGCAGAGAAACGATCCGTAAACGCTACTGTCTTATACCCGTTTCTACCAACGCAGTTTAACTTCAATCTCGGTTCAACTTGCTTTGTATCTTTCTCTAGTTTTACGAATTGGAAAAGGACAAGAAGTAATTTAAGCTGAGATTAAAGTTAATCTGCATTGGTAGAAACGGGCATTAGTCGTAGACGTAAGGCAAGGCAGAGAAAACCGAGAAAGTATAGGACTCAAGTTTTTCTCTGCCTTGCTTTACGTCTACGACTAAGACAGTCTTCAGCGTTTACGGATCGTTCTCTGCCATCAGCCTATCTGAATACTGGCGTGTGTCACTTGGGTGGTTTGAGACGTTATATTGTGTGATATAAATTATTATTGCATTATTGTTTGTTAGGCATAGATGAAAATTATCATCTCCAGCTGCTTTGAGATAGCGTTGCCGTTCCTTGAATAATCAACGAGCGATCAGTCATGACGCACAAATATCTAGACAGAGAGCATGCGATCCGAGTGTGATCCGCTACGCGGGCAACTTCGCTTACCAATGTCCATTTCTATCAATGCAAATCGACTTTAATCTCGATTTAACTTTCCTTTTACCTTTTTCTAGTTCCAAGAGCTGGAAAAGGTTGGAAAGTAAATTAAACCGAGATTCAAATTAAACTACATCGGTAGAATTGGACACAAGGCATTTGTGTATGTCATCGAATGTGCATGTACATCGATTAAAATAGATAATAAAATTCGTTACTGCAGGTTGAAAGCCCCCGGGGCGCAATCACGGCCGTGCAGCTCACTTTCACGCTAAAGATCGTGACGTTTTCGACGATGACCATTAATGCGGGTCTTTCGATAAAATAGCACCGCGACTTGGCTCCGCCGCTATTATTTTTATTGTTACTCATTGCGTTATGCATTGGCGATGTCGCGATTCTCTTTCGCCCCCGCTGTCTCGAACCTTCGCGAGAGGAATTGTGTCAGCGACCAAAATTACTGGAAATATGCGGTATTTCATTATGCGACACACGCCACTTGAACGGCCTCTGTCTCTCTTTCTGTCTCTCTCTCGTTCTTTCCGCGGTGCTTAGCGCCCGCAAAAATTCACTGGTCCTTGAATAAGCAAAAAAAGGTCGTGGCATGACGCGAGCGTCTCTTAATAGACAACTCAAGATATTTAAGACCATTACGCATTGATAATTGTGTGCCTTACGAGATTCTTTCAATTGTCGGTCATTTCTTCATTTAGGAATTTCCAAATTTAAATTTTTCTGGACGTTTTAGACATAAAAGATAAATTTAATGCTGCTGTTGCAGTTGTAAGAATAAGCCTCAAAATTGGAGTGACGCTTTTGGTAGGAAAATTAATTATAAATTCCCCAAAGAAGCTGAAGTATCACATCCCTAAAATGCATGTATCCGGGGAAATCCTTATTTATTTCTAGATTTTTCTTCAGAATGCTTTTCTTCCAAGCTTTCGAGGCCTCCTTCGAGTGTTTTTAAGCCCCCTCGGATAACTCCGTGTTTCGCATCTCTGCCAACGAGGAAAACTCTTCGAATTCTCCCTCCTCAGTTTTTCCATTCACCAAAAGTGGAGTAGCCTCATGATCCAGTTAAACGATGAGAGACCACGTTCGCGCATTCCTCGTGCGCTTCGCGCGAGGCGGTCGTATCAGTGCTCCGAGGCCGAGACGATGCTAATAATCTTGAATTCCGCGCGTCGCGGATAAGCCGCGGGTGGAGCGGCTCGTGCGCTTTCGAGGACGCGCGGGGTTTTTATTTTCCGAGCGAAATTCTGAAGATCGCGACCGTCTCTCGATCGTCGTACACCGGTGCCGCGCGGAGTCGTGGATGACGTCACGCGTCCGATGTCAGCCATTTTAGCGATGTCAGGCGTCGCGTGAGGCCGCCGGGTGTTGCACGCGAGCGGGCGCGTGTAAAGCCTTCGCCATTTTCGGAGTCGCGATCTTGTAAGTTCAAGATCGCACACGAGGTGTCGTGTGCAACGCGACCGGCACCGCGGCTGGGGTGTTCAGATTCGTATTACGAGTCTGATAATGTCTTTTTAATTTTGTTGCCTTGGCAGCGTATTGCTAATTTCTTGATGAAACAATCGTGCCACGGGTGTATTGCCTGGTTTCTTCCTAGAAAAAGAAGTGGCGTGTGAAAAATATATTGAATATACACAAAATATGAAAGAGAATTTTCTATCTGCGCTCACACGCACAAAATATATAAAAATATTTTTGCACACGTATATGTGGATGCATATGTGTTTGTATAATACATGTAAGAATATAATTATACAATTGAAAATTACACGCTCTCGGGGTCCCAGTTTGTACATTACTCGAATGTCTTTACAAAAATTAAAACTTCAGCGTCTCGTGACTAAACTTGACCCGTGACACTGAGACGGATGTCGCTCGCTCGTACATAGCTGGATGTAATAACGTTGCAAGGCTTTCGAAAGGCGTCTCGTCGCCTCGCCTTTCCTTCCGATTGGTCTGCGAGAGAACTAGAGGGCGACGACCATCACCCTCCTGCTAAGAAGCATACGAGTCTCGAGACTCCCTTGCCCGACAATTGTTTAGAACAGTGGCGTCCAACTTTGTTTTTTTGAGGGGGTCTGCAGTTTGCACGGCGACGGCCCTAAAACAAAAAAAAATGAAGAAATTAGCAACGTGACAAGACTTTGCTATCTACACGGAGAGAGTTTTCTCTTAAAATTTATCCAGAAAATTAAGTCTTCACTGCATCCTTGCGACATATAGTTTACAAATAACAACCGTGAGAGCATCTTGACACAAATGGTGATTACTGCGAACAATAACTGTTCAAACATTTAACAATTTGTTCGTATCAGTAATACTGCAAACCAATTAGAAAATTACGAGAGCGAATGCGGTCTGCGACAAATCATGATGCACGGCTGTGGCTATTTGAATTAGTTTGAAGGAAAGATCGCACTGAAGATTTTCAAAACAGAAAAGTTTTTCCACTTTTCGTGTCACGGAGAGGCTTTTTGAGTCACTGGACTTTTTGGCTTTGAGTCTTGAACATTTTGTATCCAGTTTTCTTCCTTTGACTCACCCGTACAGCCCCGTCTTATCATATTCGGCCGCTTTCAACCTTCATACTGTTAAGATTAACGGCCGACACGCTTCTCGCGATAGTGTGCTTTCCGAGGTGCACGTTGTTTTTTTTTTCTTTCTCGAGAACCAGGCAGGAAAGCAGCGAATATTAAAGACAACGTCCGGGCCACCATGGCGGAAAATAAAATTCTCAATGTGGGTCGTGGCATCGCTTGAAATAGAAGCGCCGCGCTCTTCCCCACCCGGCGTGCGCGCGGCTTCCTCCTCGCGAACGGTATATCGTAAACGAAAGCGAATCAGAATTAGAATGCCGATCGTACCGTGATTCTCTTGCGTGTTTGTGTCGCGCAAAACAACGCTTACCGCATTACTTAGAATTGGGCGATTTCGCCGGACGAAAATGACCCAATTCGGATTCCACGAGAAATTAATTTCATTAAGTCCGGTTTCCATTTCTTTTCTGTCCGCCTATTTCCAGTCTCGTTTTTAATCCCCCGACTGTTCCCTCAATTAAATGTAAAACGAGGATTCCTGGTGAAGTCTGACGCGGAGGACACCGTAGCGAGGAAAGCGATTCCACGAGAATAGACATAGCATCATTCGATGTTGCCTGTTTTGAGGCAGTAGGCCAAGGATAGCAAGACGATGTCGGTCCCGAGTGTTTTATGTCCGAAGAACCTTCGTGGAAACCCGAAGTCGGGGAAAAATTCACTCTGGCATATAAATCCTCGCTAAAGCTTCTTTCCACGTTTCGATTATTAAGACTACCCGAGTCAGAGCAACGTTTGATTCTCTCGATACTTTCCTTTTAAGTTACAATTAGCATTCTATCTTTTATCTTTTTTAATTAAGTATTGTGCTTCTGTGTACATTATAATATACGCAGAAAGCAAAGTTACGTAATTGGAGTTGGTGGGATTTAATTTTTTTTATGTTATAACAAATGGCATTTGGCCGTTATGTAATCAGGCGCGCGCGTTGCGGTTTGCAAACTTCCTGCGACAACGTGAAAAACTTGCCGATAATCTTGATGGACGGTCGGGCTGCTGAAAGTTACAGTCAGCTGTTAAAGAAATGTAGCAGAAACTAAAACCAACCACCACGGTACACGATGCTATTTTTCCTACTGGATCGCTTGCGAGAGTGAATCAGAATTCAGCCGTAAGGCCCGGTTTCGCCAACCTTGTTTAACTTTAAGCTTAGCTGAATTCGTTCTTTGTCTCTTTTCAACTGTTACTTTAGAGAGAGACAACCATGAATTAAACTAAGATTAAATTAAGCAACTTTGGTGAGACCGGGCCTAACTCACCTGGTCTGAAACTGCATTCTCATTGACTCTTGCAAGAAATCCAGTAGGAAAAATAGTATCGTGTGTCGCATTGGCTTTAAAGATGAAAGATATTATGTCGCTAATATAAATGGACCTTGTACAATTGACACTTGTCGCTTGTTTCAGACTGGACAAGAAGACGAAAGACCTGCAGATAGCAGAACGTAATGCAATGATATACGAGACGCGCTGCGGCGACTTGCAATCGCAGTTCAATCAGTCGCAGGCGGAGCGCAAGAAGCTGGCCGAGAAGGAACGAGAATCGGACAAGGAGCTGGAACGATTGAAAGCAATGCTAGTCGACGCTCGCAAGCACCTGGAGGAAGAGACTCTCCAGCGGATCGATCTCGAAAACAATATTCAGAGCCTCAAAGAAGACATCAGTTTTAAGGACCAAGTTTATCAGCAAGAACTCACGGAGACTCGTACGAGACGACAGGTGAGTGATTACGCGAAACAATGGGGCCATTTGAGTCCGGCTGCGCTGTCGTAAAAGTGTTATACGTCTTAACAAACTTTATCGACTGATATTTGGCAGGATGAGAAAAACTGATTTGAAAATTTATCCGGAAATGATAATTTAATTATACCGTATATTTACGGTATTTGCCAATTTTTATGAATGTACAAAAATTTATATTTCTATCTTGATCGCGCTTTACGATAAATAAATTAGTTATTGCCATCTCTAAAAGCGTTTCATCCAATATTGCTTTAAGAGCGATGAAAACTGTCTGACCGGAAAAAGAAATAAAGAGATAAGATAAATTTCCCATCGATGTTAATAGCCTGATTTAATAATCTATTTCCTATTCATCTCTCCTTCGAAATAATACTTATTCTTTTGTAATTGCGTTTCAGGTTGAAATATCGGAGATCGACGGTCGTCTTGCGGAACAATATGAAGCCAAACTACAGCAATCCCTGCAAGAATTACGCGATCAGTATGAAGCGCAGATGCGTGCTAATCGAGAGGAGATTGAGCTTTTATACGAGAACAAAATCAAGAACTTGGCATCTCACGCTCAGCGTAATAGCGGAGCCGCTAGCATGGCAGCGGAGGAATTGAGACAGACTCGCTCTCGAATCGAAAGTCTTAATACAAGAATCAACGAACTCGAAACAGCCAACAATTCCCTTAATGCACGCATCAGGTAGTCTTTTTTTTACAAGATTGCCTTGTAAAAAATTTTTACTTTCGCTAATATGCAAATATAATATTATATTATACCGTATATTTACGGTATTTGCCAATTTTTATGAATGTACAAAAATGAATGTACGGTATAATATATATTTTAATCCGCGCCACAGAGTTTTACTGTGAGACAAACGAGAAAAGCACAATGTAGATATTAAGAATTAATGGGCAAGCATTATCGGAAACTTATCAGACTAATATCATTTGTGGATAAATAAAAATAGCACCACAAAAATAAATATATAAATAACGTAAAATGTTTCTCGACAGGGACTTGGAGAATTTACGAGAGAACGAACGTGCTCGTCACGCGGAGAGCTTGTCTATGATGGAATCGGAGTTATCGCGTATGCGAGATGAAATGGCTCAACAGTTGCAAGAATATCAGGATCTTATGGATATTAAAGTGGCGCTCGATATAGAAATTGCTGCGTATCGCAAGCTGCTAGAATCCGAAGAGGCAAGGTGAGTCAATATTATAGTATCTCTGTAAATTCGAATGGCAAATGTTGCGTGATAATGTTAACTTATGCGGAGTGTATCTCATTTTCAGATTAAACATCACACCTATGCAGTCGACGAATACATCTATGGCCACTGGTAGATCGACTCCGTCCAGACATACTCCTCTCAGAGGTGGCAAGCGAAAACGCACTCTGTTAGAGGAGAGCGAGGAACGTAGTAGTAGTGATTACAGTGTCTCTGGTACAGCTAGAGGTGACATAGAAATAACAGAAGCAGATCCCCAAGGACGATTTGTAAAGCTGACTAATAAGGGCAACAAGGTAAGTAGGAGCTAAAATCTAACAATGTGCCTTTTAGTTTCATTCAAGTTAATTCGAACTTCTTATCGAATATAACTTAAACAGGAAACAAGCTTGGGCGGATGGCAGATTACTCGCAAAGCCGGCTCTCTAGAAACTACGTTCAAGTTTCATCGTAGCGTAAAGCTCGATGCAGGTGCTAATGTGATGGTGTGGTCGGCTGATATCGGTGCAACACACGAGCCGCCGTCCAACATCGTTATGAAGGGTCAAAAGTGGTTTGTAGCGGACAACATGACCACAACACTGACAAATATTGAAGGAGAGGTATGTGTATCCCATTTGCTATGCATTAAATCCATAAATACATTTTTCCTTTTTTTCTTGTAAAGCCGTGACTGCTAACGATCACTGGTTTCTGGTCTGCATATATCTGCAGCGTGTAAGATATACGGATTTAAAGTTTAACGCCTATCTAAAGTCTAATGTCCTCTTTCATTCGAACTGTCCATGTATATTGTTACTCTTCATTCCTGCGTGGAGGACGCTTCCCTGGGGCTTCCACGGAGGTCGATAGAGATGGCGACCGAATGGACCTCCGTTAATACGCTCCCTCTAAATTCTACTAAATCTTCTCTCCTCATTGCTGATTGCTTCATACTATTGTCGTGTCTTCAATCCTTCGATTTACTTAGAATCTGTTTTGATTCAGTGTTCCTTTATCAAATTGCATCTCGACTCTTTTCTTGGTCATTCAAAACTCGCATAACTGCTAACTATTTATACTCGCTTGCGTCACATTCTGACCACATCTCAAAACTTTGATTTGTCTCAATCTTTTGTGATATCGCTTTTTGGCTATGTATATATTGTATATGTTCCTGCACTAGTGCTAAACAACCATTAAACATTCCTGTCTCCGGGGTTCCTATTGTATTCGTAAATACGATAACGTTTTCCGTCATATCTTAGTTCTGGATGGCTCCACAATACAGTTTCGTTACATGCTGTGCTGTTTGGTGTTCTTTTCTGCAGTTAAATATTGCAATCAATTCCCATCCTTCATAAAATCTGCCACTCTTCTCTTCGCACCGTCGCTGTTCGTTTAATTTCATCGTCCACTTTCTCTTTGGAATAACTATGCTTACAATTGTGTTGTATTTTTTTTGTAGGTATCATATGCAACTCCTGCCCGTTACAGCTTTAAGCAATTTGTTACGATTTATAGTCTCTTTACGTTCGCGGATGCGTTGTGCTGTATATGCCCAATATGTGTGAAAATTATTACATATAGTTTATCCTTCATTCTAATGTGCACTATGTTGTATTACTGGCGCTAAATTATGTATGTACCAGCTACATTGATGCCTCATTATTTACGTGCAACACTCTCTATTATTTTTGTCTTCATCGTCCTGTCTTCATCATACATAATAATGTATTATTATTGTCTTTACCATTATCCTGAACGCCTCTATAGAGAGTTGTTGTTTGGCAAAGATACTCTCGGTGATTTGCTATTGTCTTCCAAGAAGTAGCGATCGAATAAAAACGATTCTGGTCGGTTTTGAATTATCAGGCTCTTTTATTCGCTAGAACAGCACACATCTTACGCCACGATCACCACGATGGCGTAACAAGAGAATCTCTTTACTAATATATTTTTAATTTAGATAAATTTTGTAAGTAATTTAAAGACTCTTGGGTGAAACTTTGAAGGGACTTGGGATAAGATTAGATATTTTTGATAACATAATGCGTTATTATGTGTGTTTAAAAATTAATATTAAATGCGATGAAATGCGGGATTATAAGTTAATTTTCCAACAGGAAGTGGCAACTTCTGAGCGCAAGAGACAGCAACTGTCTACATCCTTGTCCCGACACAGAGAAATGGGATTCCGACCATCAGAAGAGCTCCATCACCAACAGGTAAGAATGCAATAAACGTTTTATTGCATTATACATCACATTGAATGTTGTAGTGAAATGAAAGCTTTAAACTACCTTTCGAAATTAAAACAAGCGTAGATATATTGTTAGGAAGAAAATATTAAAAAAGAAAAATGTAATAATATACAATGCTGATATATATGCGTTAGCATTATATTTTAACTGCAGCATTATTTTGGTATACTACCGACGCACGAAATCATATTTAGCAAATTGTATAGCAATCGCCGTAATGTGAAAAAAACAACACTTCCATACTTGGAAATTAAAGAGGTATCAGCGAGTAGAATAACAGATCTTGGAATCGCTATGCTCTTTAATTCTCAAACATCGAAGACAATGTGGCTATATCTGTTCCGAGTTTTTAAGGCATTACAGGGATCAATTTAATATTTGCACAGCAAGTAGTAGATATTCGGACATTGCCTACCTCTCATTTGTTTCTGAAGACTCGTTATATACAGAATAAGTGTTGCAGTTATAGACAACTAATTTTGGGGGGTAGCATTTTCACAATTCACTTCTTGTTCCATAGAGAAGATATCTCTACCCGTATTAAAGGGTGAGGGCACACGACTCTGATGGGCACTTTATGTAAGTTATTTTATAACCTATCAGATGTTCGAACATTACGTTATCGATAATACTCTTCGCACTCATAATATATAGAAATTATTTCGCTTCACATTTTGTTGGTTTATCATGCAGCATTTTGCCTGGATGCTCACTGCTTAACTAAAATCTCATGCCTTACGAGAATTAATGTAATCTTCGTTACATAATATTGTTACCATCCCATTAATTAACCACATTGTCTTTAATTAAAATAGTATTGTCAAATATACATATTATTAAATATTATCTACGTAGACAATACTTAAAGCTTTCTTTCTTACACCGGGATTCAACCTGATATTAATGATAATTTGCAGTTTAAAGAAATTTCTCATTGTACGTTATTTATATGTTATTAAATTTTTACATGCTGAATATATTCTACGTATGAATGCAAGATCCCTAGATTGAGTTTTTATATTGTGTTTCGGCGGATCATCGAAGGTATTTATTTTTTTTTTATATTAATTGCTCCCGAGTTTCATAGCATTATTAATATACATATGTAATCGGATTGGCGCCGAGAGCCTGAGAAATTGTATGCGCTTTACTTAGAATGCGAACGGTAGTAACATTTACAAATAACATAAACCTGTGATTTAGCAAATTTATGTGTATTCTACATTACTGCATATATGTTAATACAATAATATAGGTCATTGTATACCAGAGACGTAAAGAAAAAGCAGAGTAATGTTACTGAGATATATATCTTATATATCTTCTCCACACGCATATCTTTTTCACCGTGTGAACATAACAATGAGATTCATTATTTGCTTATATCTGTGACTAAACGGACATGCCGATATTCTCGCAATGGATTAGGCAAACTGGGGTCCGCGGTGATTATTCATTTCTTTTTTTCCCCCGTTTCTTTCGTTTCTTTTTGTTAATAAGATATACGTACGTTTTATGTTTCAGAGCGATCTCCAAGGTGAAGACCGTTGCTCCATTATGTAAACCTAAATTTACCATAAGTGTAATATCAAAAAATTTTGAAAGCTTATATGGGGCTTTATTCCGTAACCGCAGTTTAGAAACTGACGAAAATAAAGAAAAGGAGATCATTAACACAAAGAAATTAATTTAGAGTACAATATCAGAAATATATGAGATACAAGATCTATCTGTTTGATTTTCACCTTCGAAGAGAAGGAGAATAAAAACACAGAAATGATGAATATCGAAATATATAATTTTCCTTACGTTTATGTAATAGAACATATATATTATATATATTATATATAATGTACACATATATGAAAAGATATTGTATAATATATTTGAACTGACAAGAGTTCAAATCAAACTTAACAAATGGGTTTCGTGATGTGAATGAAATACGTTTTTTTTTGCATTTATCAATCTCTATTCATCACAAAGAAAAAAGGGAACTGTGCTATTATATTCCGTTAAACCCACGGCCGTACAACGATTACCGTGTACAGACGTATACTAATGGTACGCTTGTATTCAGAAAACTTCTTCCCCATTGTGCGCCCGCGTTCACGTTTACCGCCGCTATGCATTCGTTTTGTACTTCCAATTGTAACATCGAAATAGCGAGATACTTGCGAGCTGTAACGATTGATAATTTTTTAATTTGTGATAATTTATTACATTTATGTTCGTTCACTTTGTCCAATAAGAATCTTCAAGCACGCGATTGGGTTACCAGTATTTAATAGTAATATGAAACTGTGGGGAAGCTAAATATGATAGATGTACGACTATCAATTAAATAGACAGTTTCACACTTCAATGAATCCTGAAGAAAACGCTTGTTCAAACGTTCGATTGAATGTTACTTCCATTTTCCGATCGAGTAATATTTAATTAAACGCTGCACATTTTTAAGTCAATGAAAAAGTGTATTCTTCGGTCGCGATAAGCTGCGAAATTGTGCATTGAATCGTACGAATGCTGCCGACATTCAATTGATCTTACTGAAAGAACAGAAATGATAATGGAAAGTATAGGAAACGTGTTCCTACGATCGCGCCCACCTATGCATTCAAAATGATTTTTCTTAATTGTATCCAGCCTTATATCATTTATACTAATAATAAAAATTACAATTAACGTACAAATGTACTTGTCATTATTATTTTTCACAATAGTGACAGCAGCTAACCGTTTTTAGACGAATGTTAAGTTAGAGTAAGTTACGTCTGACAAGAGAGCATCAGAAAAGCCGAAAAGATTAGACGGACAGATTGTTCGTATTTTATGTACATGAATCGGTATACTTGTATACAGAGCCGATTTATAGGCAAAATTTCCCTCTCTTTGTATAAGAGTGCTATTTTTATCGTAATAAAAAAAACCGCACTTATGCCTGAATCATTAAGAGTCGATAGATATTTTTAATGTTAGTCCGTTTTTGTAATAAAACTTATCAGTTCAAAAATGTATTGTATTCTGCCAATAAAACTGTATCTTGTTTCGTCACTCTTTGCACAATATACAGTTGATACCCTCCATTCTAAGAATGTCTATTCCGAATCAACTGTTTTCCTCCCAATTAGGATTCTCCTCTTGTCCTGCTCTTTTGCCATCCGTATTTAAATAAGATAGAACGTGTAGAGTAGAATTTTCTGAGCGTATACCATTTGAATACAAGTTGGGATTGAGGGAAAAAAATGTTTAAATAGATTCAATTCTGACAATATCTTAAAATATAGGAGATTCAATTGTACTGTTATACTTACAGTTTAATTCGCTGAAATGAAAAAAATACCTGTTCAAAAAGTTTGTACCAAATATTAGATAAATGAATGTAAAAGTTTTTTAACCTTTAGAAATCTAATGGATCTTGTTTCATGATTTTTTCAATTTTCAAGTTAGAAATCTTAAACATCTGAGAGTTAATCTGGAACTGAAAGATCGTCTCCTCGATTTCTAGAGGTTAAATTTTGTTGAAGATAATTTATTGGAGTTTTATTAATATTTTTCTGTACATACAGTACATATACAAAGATTTCTCGCACATATTAAAAGGTAACGTGGAAATTAGTATAAAAGTTCTTTGACATATCGTAATGCGCACATCACAATGTGTGATGAGAGGCATTTATTATAATTATCGATGGTACGGTTATTCTATTCGCCTTACGATATTATGATGAAATAAAAAATGATTCTCTGTACCCGTATGAAATAAATATTAGGAACTAAGCTGGGTGACATTTCGCATCTATAATACAAATCTGTAATATTCTGAAAATTACGTGATAAATTATAATGCAGATTATATAATTAAATTATACACATATATACATACATACATATGTATATATAATTTAATCTTATCCGTTGAATTGTAAGCAATTTACAGTAACGCACTTATTCACATAATGGAAATGTTTTAGAGAATTAGAAAAAAGAAAAACTATCAAGAAAAATGAAATTACATAGATTTTTTGTTACGTTACTACGATATAATATATGTATCTTTATAAATGAAAACACGTAAAATCTTACACTTATTCTAAGCTTACACAAGAAATAGACAAAAATGCCTTACACAAAATGGTAAAATAAGCGACAAAAGACGAAGTAAAATCAACATCGTATCCTTAACACTCGGATAAAAGGATCCACTTTGACGTCGCAATATCTTTTGAAAGGAAGCTCTTCTTTAAGTACCGTAAATCGTGCAATAAATGTACCCTTCACGTTGCTATTACATCGACAAAAGCACAATAATGAGCGCGACCGGTTTCCGTTCCGAGATTCGTTCGGGCGAAATCAAAATCGGTAGTTTCTATCGTCGCAAAGAGTATAGTGAGATGATATAATAATTTGTTCAAAACACGCAGAGTCTTGGAAAATCCATCACATTCACATAGATCTTATATGTATATATCGTATAACCATTATATATACGTGAACACAATATAGAACATTTACACATTTTATAAGTTAACGCGTTTATATCTTGTAAGCAGAGGGTGCGTTCTCATTTCCTCTCATTGTCAGTATTACTGCTAGTACTGGACGCTATTGCTGAGTTCAGTTTCTGAGAAAATTATTCTCGAATGAAATCTCGATATCCTTCGTAATAACCATAGCAGCTATTCTTTTCTAAACGCAACCATCCGCATCTTTTCATTGAGACCGAATGCTCAAAAGTATTGGGAGTACTGCCAGTAGTACTGAGAGGAAATGAGAACACGCCCATAGTCTTCGCGAAGTTATCCTCCGTTGATTACTTTCGATGGCTGTGCTTCTCTTCGTAGTCTTAAATAATCTAAGTATCCATTTCGCTCGATAGTTTTTGGATGGTAACGGTTTTGTATTATGTAAGTGTTTTAAGAGGCTAATATATCCTTACTTCTTCTGAAAACTTGTAAATATCTTTGAAAATGGCAGTCAGCGCCAGGAGCATTCGAACTATAATCTCACATTTATTGAACATGCGAATGTGAATGTATTGATGATCAGATACAAACTGTTAGGCACGTACCTGTCGATATATCCGATTAAATTCTCTCTTTGAATCCGTCGATTAAACTCTCAATAAATACCAACATGTCTCTCTCAGATACTTTGAACATCGTTAATTCTTTTTTTCTTCAAAGTCGATCTTTAACTTTCGTCCCCTCGCGGTTCGCATAAAGCTTTACTCTCGTCATCGACATAGGAGCCTCTACAACTTCCCTCGTTGCACATTTCAGCGATTATTTCACGAATTACCGGTCGTCAGATTGCTGTTCAGCAGCTCGGTATTGGCGTTGTTCGCCGCCAGCTGCTGTTCTTCCTTTTGCTTTCTGCGCCGCCTGCGATTCCGCTTGTGAATGCAGAGCAGCACCACGAAGACGATGAAGAGAACCGTCCCGAGACACGAGGCTACCAGTGTCCAGATCGAGCGGGCCTTCTCAGTCTCCACCCTCAGCTGTATGATGGAAGTGCACTCGTTGTACAGCTCATACGTCCGGTTGCTGAATTGCACATTGGCGCAATTCTTGGTCGTGCAATTGAAGAATTCAGGCTTCATTTTTATCTGACGTAACTTCACCCAGGCATTCAACGCCTGGCATTGGCAGCCGACGAACTTGATCGGGTTCTGATTTTTCGTTCCCGCGACATCGATGATGAGAACCTTGAGCGAGCAGAACGGCGCCAGGTCCTCGGTCGACACCGAGGCTATATCATTCTCGGACACGTTGAGGGTTAAAAGGTTCGGCTGGGGACCGATAGTCGGGATCTTGGTGAGCTTGTTCCCGGCCAACTGTAACAGCTCGATGGGCGAGGTGATGTTTACCTGGAACACCGTGTCGTAGAACCTATTGTTGTCGAGGTAGAGCGATTGGAGATACGGCAGCTGGAACAGGCTCTTCGGCAGATAGTCACAACCGTTTTGCGTAAGCACCAGCACCTTCAGGTACGGCAGTTGGGTGAAGGCCTCTTCCTCGACCTTTGTGATGAAATTGTCACTCAGATAGACGTAGCCCAAATTCTTGTAAGGGGTCAGGCTATCGTCCTTCAAAGTTCTCATTCGATTCCCACTAAAATCGAGCGCCTGTAAAAGACATATTTTCAGGCAAGACGTAAAAGAACGTTAGGGCCCGAGCAGAATTGCTGTCTTATACTCTTAAGACAGCCTTAAGACAATGTTTTATGTTTCAAGCCTTGTCCTTAAGAGTACAAGACAGCTATTCTGCTCAGGCCCTTAAACGAACGACAAGACACGTGTTTAGAAAAATTATCCTCTGTACTTAACATCGGAGCATCGTTAAATTGGAATGGAAAAAGTTCAAATCTTATATAATTTCGATATCGGAGTTCAGTAAGCAGTACATTAAATTGTAATTATATATGCGTATGCGTATGTAAGCGTGTACTGTATAAAATTAACAAACAAAAGTACCATCTCACTCCTGAAGGCACGCAGTGTGTTATTCAGATGGAGATTAAACACACCGTTCACGTTATTTATCAGATTTCTGTTAGTAGAAAAAAAAACGGGGTGAAAAATGGTAATTCCGTTGAACGGAAAGAGGTCGGGATTTATCAATAAAATCTTTGTTTCCGTAAAGATGCACTTGTCAGATTAGCCGGTCGGCGAGAAGAATTAATGACGCAGCTAACTCAATAATGCAAGGACGCGAGATATTAGGACGACGGATAATAGTTTCTTTGACGCGACTCCCCGATATGCAAATGCAATGAAGAAATATGCGAATATTTTAATGCCTTTTATTTATATATTAATTTAATAAATCTCGCAGCACAAAAAGCAACTTTTTTACTCGTTACAGTTGCTCGGCACGAGTCGATAATTAATCGACCGAACTGATCTCCGAGATCTACGTCCCGTAGTATCATTAATTATGAACGATTATATGATAATGTTTTTTTTCGTATAATTATGAATATTAGATATTTCCAAAACTTCCAGATAAATCCTTAAGATAAATCCTATTGAAATGAGGTAGGCCCGAAGCTGGAAAATGGGCTTATTTGCATTCTCGCTGCGGAATTTATAAAAAAATCTTTGAAACCGCTGGTAAAATGAATAATTTAGGATGAGGATTACTTTTATTCCTCCTTCGTTGCGTTTGAGACACGTCGGAAAACACCCTGGGGATTCGTAAAAGGATATCATGTTCTGTTGACGTTGGTTTACATCGCGCAGACCTAACTCCGAAATTAGTATGTCTGGTATTTCTGCGAACACGTCCGTTAAATTCTGCGTACGAGTCAGCTTTGTCGATTGAATGTATAAACGGCTCTTTATGCGCGTTAATTCCTACATACATACGTGATTGCTCAGATTCACATATACTTCTCGCAAATGCGATTATGTATTTATAATGGCCGACGAAAGAACTATACGATCGTATATTTACACGATATAAAATGCTCAAATGTATCAATGGTGGGTTTTACGCGAAACACAGTAAACTTTCTCCTAAGTAAGGACTTGACGCAGCGTAGTTTGACGACCACAGAAAGAAAAGAATTCCATTAGGACGAGATGAGCTCGAAATTAAACGAGAATCGTAATTTTGTTATCTATCTGCATAATTTAAAGTCAACACATTTCTATCTGCGAAAAATTACTTATCGGCGCGAAATGCCTCGAAATCCCTTGAAGGAAACTCAGTTGCAGCCAAAGAAAATTCCGAGTGAAATTCCGTTGCTCTCGAATTCCCACCGGGACATCCGATACGCAAGATCAAATGCCGGAGCATCTGTAATATCTCTGCACGACTAAAATTTCTCAAGTGTATTGCGGAACGCATCCATCCTCGTGACCCTGGACAACCCAATCTCCGGATTTAGCATGTCTGGAGTTTTGCCTGGGATTCATCGGGAGGCAAGTTTACCAAAGTACGAAAGTGTAGTTGCAGACATACGGGGGATTTGCAGGATGCGGTCGTATCGGACGGGGGCAGTTGAAGAAAGAACAAGAAAAGTATAACCGGCGCGCGCATGGAAGACGCAGCATTCCGTAAATCGGTGGAAAGATTTAAGCTCGAAGGAAGACGCACATACCGGGGATATCCGGCTGGGCTTGGTCACGAAGGCTTATCACGTTGATACCGCGGGAATACCCGGGGGGGGGGGGGGGGTGATTAATTATTCGCGCATAATGTCGCTAACAACGAATGAATTAGAGGTACGGGGGAGGACCGGAGATAGATTCATCATCGCTTTAATATTACACGAAGTCATAAAGCGCGCAATCTATTACCGCAAAAGAAAGTATCGTGAAAAAGTAAAATAGTGATCAACAAAGGCGCTCGAGAAGGTATCAACAAGTATATACATTTTATCGTCGACGTTGATAAAGCGAAACTCCTGTAATGCTATTATGAAGTGCGCGTTACAAGACAGCGCGCGCGCGTTAACCCGCTGGGACATCAATCCGTCTCGCAAGTCAGCCTTGTGCATCCTTTGTAAACTAAAGCTGCCAGATTTACGCCCTTTGACGGAAATAACTTGAAATAAACAAGGGGGCGGAGGAGGAGGTGTCTATATGTAAAATAATCAAAAACTTTTATACATCCCTCCTCCGCTTTACATTCTGCCACGGTCCCGCTCTGGCACGAATTCAGATACCGGGTTAATAATTAAGATGACGAAAATATACAATGAATGTACGAAAGAAACTTGGAAACGTTTTTCACTTTAAATCTCTCGATATTAAGCATTTTGCTTCCTTCGCGTAAATCTAAGTAAAGAAGAGGATAAAAAGGGGGAAATGAGAGAACGCAAAGAGAAACAAAAGATTTTACTGCTGTGATTTTTAGAGAAGTTTATCGTAAATTCTTTCATTACCTTCTGTCTTATAAGAATTGTTGCTGGCAGTAAAAAGAGGACACTCATTGTCAGTATAGAGGATAAAATACGTAGTCTCCGACCCTTGGATGCTACGGAGACATTGTACTTATTATACGAATTTAACGTAGGAATAAAAACACCGTATGGAGTCGCTAGATCTCAGTACCTAATAATACTATTGAAAAAGGATGTATACGCAAAAAGTATTACGCGTTAAGAGCCAGGGGCTGGATTCTTGAATTCATTCGCAGGAGAAACGTTTGCGCAAATTCCGCTCTTACAGAAAAGTCGACTGGCTAAAGACCACGCGATAACCAATCGATTTGCGAGCTTCCTGTAAGAGCAGAATTTGCGCGTACGTTTCTCTCGCGAACAAATTCGAGAATCACAATTCGAAGGAATAAAGGACATAAGAGCCAAGTCACACGCACAGAAAAAATTTCCAGATCCAATGCTATTACACTTGAATGTATCATAAAATAGCGCCAATCATATCTGTTATAGAGAAAGGAATATTTTGATCTTAAATGAAAATTTTTTTTTAAATCTAGAATAAAATGATAGTACGCTTGAATGTATCGACATAGCGCCAATCATATCTGTTATAGAGAAAGGAATATTTTTATCTTAAATGAAAAATTCTAAAATCTAGAATAAAATGATAGTACGTCTTTTGTCTAATATCGCGGTGTCAAGATGGAGGGAAAATTTATTCTAAACGCAAGAATATATAAACTTACATTTATATAAGTTACTCTTGTCTCAATATAGTAAGTCAACCTGTTTCAATTCGATAGAGAAGAATAAGAATTATTGAATTTATGTTAACATTGTCTTATTTTTATACCAAATGAGATTGTGAGAAATAGAAATGTGTCAAGAATATTTTTTGTCTCGGTAACAGAAATAATCCTTTCTGAGGGTGCAGGATGTTAGTGTCTGAATGAATTTAACTTTTTAATTTATTGCGAAAAATTTAGCCAGGGTTTGAACCTGGAACTGGCGGGCATCTCACCAATTCGACCACCGAGGCGTGTAATATTTCTCGCAACAAACAGTCTAACGGCCCAAGTTTTATTTCACGAATGTCATATCGTGACTGAAGTCGAAACAGAACTGCGCGCCGACTAATGCGTCAGTCTTACAACACGTTTAAAAACATATTTTAAAATCTGTGATGCTGTCAAGTCTCAGAGAGCTGTGAAATTTCCTCAAAGCATTGTATCTTTCGACTTTACTAATAGCATTTGCTTGCAGAGGTCGATGACCTCATACATTTAATAGCGCATTTGAATCCTTGTGACAACTATTATCCCGTTTTATGTTAAGATCTACTTTTTCTGTAAAATAATATTAACCCTCAAAATGCTTCTGCTACAACACAGCTTCAAGTATGAATCCACATTATTGCCCACCCACCCCAAATACCAAATGAAATGAAGAGAGCGCTTTCTCATCGCAAGTTCAAGAATCCAGCCCCAGCTCGGCTGTACAAGGCGTTTCTATTATTTGTATTAATTTATATTAAAAACAAAGTCGAGCTCACCCATTATATCAGATTGTACTATGTTTATTGGTTAATCTTACCTCTATGTCACTCTGGAGATGCTTCGGGACATCGGGTAACTCCATGTGGGGGCAGGACGCCTGCAGCATCGAGTAGATCATGGTGTGACGACACCTTTTCACGAACGGCTTGTCCTGTGCGACTCGCGTGGTGCCCGGCGAGCCCAGCACCGGAACATCCGGCACCGTGGCCACGACGAAGCCCAGTAATAGAAAGCCATTAAAGAGAAGGATGCTCATGTCTGCAACAGATCCAGCGGAAACGTACGCTTGAACTCTGCCCAAATCGAATCTTCGATCGGATAACTGCGCGGCGGATGCACCCAAACAGCACACACGTCTAAAAGACATCTTTAAAAGACGACTTGCAGGGATCGAGACGTCTTAAGGCCTGCGTCCACGATGCTGGAACATGGTCCAAGTTCCAGGTTCGAGACACGTGTAGCCAATCAACGTGCAGCTATTCCAACTTCTCGAAACTGGAACTAAGCATCGTGGACACAGGCCTTTAAGGACGTCCGTCAGACATGCGTGCTGTACGGGCACGGGGTGGGTGGAAATGTATTGCCCTTGGCGGAGCGTGCCGTTAAATGACGCGTCATTTGCGACATTTATTGCGCCGTACCGTGGCATATTATGCGACATTTTGTCGATATTTTTTTCATATTCGTCGAGACTCGAAACTCTTTTTTTTCTTGCCACCCCCGCGGCCCGTTTAATCGATACATCATTTCCTCCGTTTTAATTCGAAAGATCTTTTCTTTTTTCGCGAGGCGACGGGCGATGGTCGGCTTAAAGCAGTTAAAGGAAGTTGATTAGCAGCCCCGCGAGATAGCTTTGAAAAAATTGTGGAAACTTTTCCAATCGCCCGTACCTATCTCCCCGCAACGTCCATTTACGTGCAACCCCCGGTATTTCCGTAGCTTAATTAAGCGCCCTTCGAGATGAAAAAGGAAAGAGAGATATCACTTTGAAATCGTAATAGCCTCAGCTACCGGAGCGCTATCGCGTCTATTTGCACCCGCGCCGTTGGATGCTTCCTATGTCCGGAAAGCGGTATCATAATTTCGATAAGCGCCGTTTTCGGTCCCCGGGATCGATCCGGGCGGTTTTCGGCGCACCTATTACACGGCATGCGTCGCCCGGCGTCGCCCGTCGGCGAGATGCAGTGGCGAGAGCTGACCTCTCATAGCCGGTTAAGTTGTCAGTCGAAATAGCTGGCCGACCATCCGGTCCGCTTACCGCCGGCGAAGTAATTTCCAGGTGGCGATTCCAACTTCGCGCGCGCGACAGAGGAGGGAGAATTTCGGCCGCGTAAATTTTCGGACTTTGACGGCGGGGCAAAGTAAAATTACGGGGAGAAGGGCGGAGAAGGGTTTAGGTGGAAAGTTAACGAGGTCCCTCTCCACTGTCCCCCCCCCCTGCGCGCCCCGTTCGTGTAAAAGCATAAAACTCGCGGTGCCTCGTGCGAGAGGAACGGCTGTCGGAAACGTCCCGTTCGTTACCGCGATCGATCGATCGCGCCCCTTTGTCCCGATCGAATTTCTCTTACGGCAGGCGTCGATGTAATACACGAGGAGTACTCCACCTACGACGTGTATTCGGAAAGTTGAGGGATATCGAGTTCGTAATTAATTGCTCGCGACACAGACGCGGAAGTTCAGGCATTTTCTTTTTCTTTTAAGAACGTCAAATATCGATGTTAAATTTACGGATAACTCTTCGAGCACTCATCCGGTGACCGCGCTCTCTTTGCGGGTGTGCCCGAAAGAAGAAGGTCGAACGCCGGGCCTGCATTAGCAGGTGAATGAAATTTTATATCAATATCGTGGAGTCTGTACAAGGAGACCGAACTAGGCTTGATCCCTTAATCAACGTAAAACGTAAGCGTAAGAAAATCAACAGATTGGATTCGCTACTGCTTGCGTTATTGCCTTACGTTCTCGACTGCGATTGGTCGATTTTCTTACGCTTACGTTTTACGTCCTTACGGAATTTTATGTGCGAAGGCCTTTACGTCACCGAAAGTGGGCCGACATTATTGCAAGTTAGTGAATAAAAATTTCGCCACTTTTAGCGCTGGCGTCGCAGAACCGGATTCGCCCATGAGTTTACCGATCTTGATCTCGCTGGCTCGTGGATACAACCATGATGTAAGAAGATAAGGTGTGCTCTCACCGTGAACCAATTTTGGTTTGTTTCTGCGCCTTCCAAAACGACGCCATATTGGGAAATATCAACCAATAGCATCAATGCGCGAGATGTAGATAATTATGCTATATTATCTCAGGAAGAAGATGAAGATAATGAAGAAGATGACGGCTGCGAAGGCATTGATGCTATTGGTTGATATTTCCCAATATGGCGTCGTTTTGGAAGTGTCTGTGTTGGTCGATTTCTGGAACTTACGAAAATTACAAAAGTGAGTGAACACTGGAACATTTATAATTTCAACCTGCGAATTCGCTCACTTTTGTAAGTTTCAGAGATACGCAATCCACCCCCTCATCTTATTTGCGGATCGGACGTTATCGTGTCCGCTCTCACGAAAGCTTCATGCATATGACAACCATGACTACGTTTCCACCGAGGGTCAGAGTCGGGCTAGAGTCGGGTCAGAATCGGGTTGGGGTGAGCGTTTTTGCGGTGGAAACACCTAACCCCAACTCGATTCTGACCCAGTTTGGTGTTTCCACCGCAAAAACCCGATTCTGACCCGACTCTAGCCCGACTCTGACCCTCGGTGGAAACGTAGTCCATGCGACACGCACGAATGCGAATCGGGTTTTCCGCTGACAGCGCTCCCAGTGGTTCTTTTCGGAACGACTGAGTCTCAAAAATGTCGGCCCGCTCTGATTACGGGAGTTCGGTCCCCTTATACAGACTCCGTGACTAACACTCTCGTTTTTAGTTCCGTGGCCTCAAACACAATCCTCTTTAGATCACCGAGATACGCGCAAATCTATGCGTACGACTTTCACAGGTAATATCTTTCACAATGTAATTTCTTTTAACCGTTGACTAGATACCTCGGACCTTTGTTGCACACTTTATCCAAGTATTAATCTAGAAATGTCCTACTTTGTACAGTCAGCTCGCTTGAAAAGGACCAAAACCCACGGTCGAAACGCAGCGAGTCTTGAACATAAAAGTTGCCAGATACGGTCAAACAAACTTGACGTCGTTAATTATTGCCGGCGACCCTGAAGATTATTCTTGTCAGGATTTTATATTATTGCGATAGTACGCGCCCGTACTTCCGGAATATTTTGAAGTCTTAATCCGCGTCTCGCGAGCAGCTCTTTCTCTCCCTCTGTTTTTTTTTTATACCGCGCGACACTTTCTGTATACGTCGAGAATATTTCGCCGTTCCTCGCTCCACCGCTAAGCACCGCCGTTCCACGAAGGCGCGGCCGTTGCGGATTTTTATCGCGGGATTTATTGCGCATTTCGATGAGATAAAAATTTCATGGCGCTCCGCCTGCTACCCTGGGGGCTGGATATTATAGCGGGAAACCCGGCTTCTCTCGACCATAATTAAAATTAAATTGCAGTTAGCTAAGACGAAAGTGCTCTCTTCGCCGAAGCCGAAAGCTTAATAGCATTGCGTAGGATGCACGGAGGAACTGGAGAAAGGAAGATGATGCGCCTGCACGTTGCCGTTTGTATAAAGGACGATGACGACGACGACGACGACGCCGACGACGACGCCGACGCCGGCGACGAGAGCTTCACCGACTTCCGTACATCTCACGCTCATTTGCCTGCATTTGAAAACGTTATTAATATAAATTGGAACGGCGGCCTCCTCCCCCCCCCCCTCTCTTTGCGAAACTTGGATCTATCTTCCAATATAACATCTTGATAATCAAACTTACTCCTTTGAGCATACTGTGACATCACTCTCTCTTTCTCCCGTCTCGCTCTCCCTCGTTTTATGAATGCGAAGAGAATTATGCGTCTATTAGTTTCGGAATTAATCTAATTATTTCACGGAATATTTCTTCCTTCAACGGCCGTTCGTGTGAATTTCGCGAATCGCACGAAGTAATTGTTTTAAGTTAATTTTTGCAAAGATGCAAAATCGACGAAAACCAATGAACCTCAGCCCCTTTTTCTCCAAGAGCGCGCTCTAAAAAGTCTCACGCGAGAGGGAAATGATTGTTTAAAAAAATATATATTAATTAAAAATGCACTTTAAATAATGTACATTACGTTACGAAATACGCTCCTACACATTCGAGGCGTTAAAATGCTCATATAAAAAAAAAGCATATTTACGCACGATTTCTTTTCATCGAGAAATGCAAAGAGACGGCCTGAAGTGTCCCTTTTCCCTCATCGAATATTCCTGTTTGCAGATACCTCCTTCTCGAGGAAGATCTTGATAAAAATATTGATGTAATATCGCGAGAAAGCGCCTGAAAGCGTTCGAAAGCTTTCTCCTTGATCATTGAGTAATACCCTTTATACCGCTCCGAGAATTGAAAATGGAATGTGTTTCATTTACGGCTTGTATAAAGCTGTTATTTACCAATGACTAAATGCGACTCGGTATTAATTTATTATTTTGTATCCACTTTTGATGATCCGTGAATAATATATTCACAATGGTAATACGTTTCACGCTGGCCGCGTGACAAGCCGGGCGCTTTCATTTCAATCAGCAGCGAGAGCAAATACAATTTAAAAGTACATTTTGCAATAGGAATATAACTCGTTAAAGCACGGACAAGAGTCCAAATGACTGAATCAAATGTAATATCGCGAAAAATATCTGGAATATATCGTTACGCAGAAATTGACTAATAACAGTTTTTCAAGCCCTTTCTTTCGAATTGTTTACAACAAAATATTACAGAATTGAAATTATTGTAAAACGGTTGGCAATTCACGAAACAGAATGGTATAACCGAGACAATACCTTTTACAAAACTTGCAACGTTAGTTTTCCAGAGGACTTGAGACAGCAAATTTGTTTTGTATCCTGCGGCCATTTCGTTTTTTAAAACCTTCCACAAATTGATGGATCAAGAACGACACGTTTTGACACATTAGTCAATTATCGCGGAATAAGTTTTCTGCCGCTACTTTTAATTATTCGGCTATTACATCATTGTGAGCTATTTCGTCCATTTATCATGCATTTATTGCGCTTTCTGGGACACGAGTTCCCTCAAGCGGAAATTTTATTTCAACTTTCGGAGAGAAAGTGAGCCACTCGCGCGTGAGATGAATAATC